CTGACTGCGTTCCCAAGGCCACCACTAACCGAAGGGATGTGAGAGAGAGAGTGGGGGAGATACGCAGGGAAATATTTCCTTAAGCTGGGCTCCATTATATGTGCAGGGGAAGGCACTGCAAGCCTCTGGCATGATGGCATACTACGAAATTCCTCTACGTGCCCGCGCTGTGTTTCCAAGCAGGTTTGGCTAGATGCTCAGTAAAAACTGCTTAGTAGGAAGCTGCGTTTTGGGGACAGATGGCAGGCAGTGCCACCAAGTTCCTTTCCCTGCAGGAGCGCTTTCCCTAGTCATCTTTCATCCATAGTTAATAGGTGCCACAGAGAAGAACCCAGAGTGTGCCAGCTGAGTTCAGACCACCCCCAAGGGTGGGAGGGAAAAGGGCAGCACATTCACTGCGTGTATTTCCATTGTGCGTTAGAGGGAGGGGAACGCTGATGGCAGCGCTAGTTTTCTTCTGGCAATCCTGTACCACACAGAACAGGACCCTAAAACTGAGCCTGTTTCAGGGACCCTGAGAATGGCAACACTTGTGGGTTGTGCCTCCAGCCATTGCCTCGGCATGCTGGAGGCTTTATGGCTAGAACTGTCCCTGACTTCTAAAAAGGGATCTTGAAGGTGGCCCGGGATGTTCTGGACTGCCTTGGGGCAGTTTCCACAAGCCCCACGCTTCTGCTGTAGTACTCATCTGTTCCTGCAATGTCTGCTGCAAATCTGTGTTGCCTTCCTCCCTCTCCTCCCTGGTTGCAGAGAGCAAGTCATCCAGCCCATGGGCATCACGCCGAGCGGCAACCTGGCCCCCATGGAGAACGCCATCCACGATATGGCTGAGGAGAGGTCGTCGTCCGACTCGGACCTGGGGCTGGACTGATCCAGACCTCTCGCCCCAGCCTGGGAGAGCTGGGGAGCCTCCATCCGCTCTCCCTCCGGAACTGGTGCTGCACCCAGAGGCTGGTCCTGGGCCAGGACTCTCCCTGTGGGATCTGGATCCAGCCTGGACCCCTCAGTCCACAACAAGGAATGCCTCCTGCCTCCTTCCCAGCTCCATAACCACCTCTCCTTCCAGAGGGTCTTCGTGGCCTGGCTCCACCTTGGTCTCTCCTGTTGGCAGCCTTGAGGATTTCAGACTCCAAATTGCTTCCAGGACTTTCCAGTAGGATTTTTTTTTTTAAATACGTGAAGTTTGGGAAGAAGGGGTGGGGGGAGGATCTTTCTGTCACGCCATGAGGGTTCAGTAATCTGCAGAGCATTTTGTATATGTGCCTACACTTGTGTGGCCGCTCGTCAGCACGTCGCTGTGCGTGGCTACGTGTAGCCGGCCCTTTGTGGGGGGGGAACCGCTCCCCAGGAACGCAGGGGGGAAGGTGGGACTGCAGGAGAGGGGTGTGAGCCGTTATTCACGGCAGTTCCTGGGGACCGGTGTCTGCGGGGTGCCTCGGCATAGCGCATCCATTTCATCGCAGGTAGCTGTACGCGTCTGCGCTATGCGTGGCTGCGAGCGTGGCGGTGTCTGTGCAAAACCAGGAGCGTGTGGACTTACGAGTGTGTACGTGAGTGCAGAGGGGAGCAGCAGTGCGTGCGCCGCAGGGAGGAGAGTAAAGCCTTTGCGTGAAGCTTCCAGCATTCCCGTCGGCCACGGGAGAGAAATGCGCAGGTGCCTGCCAGGAATGCTCTGATATTCAGTCTCTGGCGCCGTGCAATGTTCCTGTTACCACAGAGTTTAGTTTTTGGCATTAGCCTTTCCCCATCTCACACTTTCCGAAAGAAAGGCCAAAATCTGTGCTTTGTCTGCTGCCTCCTCATCTGCCTTGGCTTTCCCACAGGTCCACTGCTGTTTGCACCCAGGGACTGGTCTTGGTCCTGTCCTTTGTGGCTTAGATTTGTCTTTTTTTTTTCCCTTCGGTTTTTGGAAGAAAAAAAATTGTTTTAAAGAAAATCTTCCAGTTTGTCTCATGTACCAGAGTTCCAAAACTTATTAGCGCAAGTAGGAATGCAGAAGTGATGCTAGAATAAAGAAAACCTGACAAATAGGCGCATGGCAGTGATTCATTGAACACGATAACTCTGCAAGTAAGGAACTAGCTTTGTTTTTTTCTGACTGGCACATGGTTCTACTCCGATCACCCTGAACTTCACAGTTTTATTTAAGAGGTAAAACTGTAGCATTAAACTGGGGCTAAGCCAGAACCTTTCCCTGCACCACGACCACCAAGTATAACCAAATGGAGTATCCCAAAATTAAAGTAAGCACTGAAGCTTGAGGATTGCAAAACAATCTCGGCTCCATCCCTGGGGCCTCACAACATGCAGCTGTCTACAGAACTGTTCATCTCCTTTACAAATGCTCTGTAATGGTTGGAAATTTTGCACGCCAGCTGTTTTCCGTCTCTGCCATAGAGATTTGCTGCTCAGCCTTTGCAGGACGCGAGCCAGCTGCGATGATCCTTTGGCTGCGTGGGTCTGCTGCGGTTTCTGACTGCCCGCAAGGCAGCGAGCGCAGCGGGGCTGGGCTCCGGTGGGGAGGCAGGACAGGCTGGCCAAGCTCCGCAGCGAGGCACCGCATCGGGCATCCAGGAAATCTGGGTCCGGGGAGGCTGCAGATGTGCAGCGGGGGCAAGCGGAGGGTTTGGAAGTGGTCCTGCCTGTGTATTTGTAGGAGCCGGTGCTTGTTTTCTGTGAGCTGAAAAGCTGATGGTATGCTTTGTTTAGTTTAGCTCTTCAGTGATTAAGAATCTTTTGTAGTAGTTGTGATTTAAAGTTCCAGGCTCTCCCAGAGGTATACAATATTTATGTAAAACTGACCCACTAAGATTCATGGATAGGCATCTGTCATGGGAATAGCTTCAATGTATTGCGGCTGGAGTTTTTAGGCATATCTTTTTTTTTTTTTTAAAGTAACTAGCAAAAAAACCCACCCCAAACCTTCCATGTGAAAATGCAGACCTCTGATCTCTTCCAGCTGTTAAAGCTCTCTGAAGCTTTCCATCTAACAGGAAAAGCGGGGGGTGTATTTTTAATGCAATGCTTCTGATGTTGTTGTATTCTAATTTTTTATCGTGCTTAAAACCCTGACTTGCGACTGACAGGCCCTGCTTTGAAAAGCCCCAGTGCAGGGGCTGAAGTTGGCACAGGGCGCTTCTGGAGTAAGGGTTTAAAACCAGGGTACGGTTTAAAACCAACACGTTGCCACTGTTTTCAGTGTGAAGCAGCATGCCACGAGGCTTGTGGTGCTCTGCCCAGTGAGAGAACAGGCCTTCTGCTTTTCCTGAGGCTGTGCACTCAAACACATCTGCTGGGCCGGTCCCGGCCGGGAGGAGGAACGCGCAGATATATCCAAATTTGTGCATTTGGATAAACGAATCTGCTCGGCTGAACAGGAACCTGCTCACACCTTTCTTCACACAAGTGGCTAGGACACCATGCACCCAACTCTGTTCCTGTAGCGTTAGCAGATGTGCCAGGCTTCTGTGGGGTCCCTAGAGCTAGTCTGATTTATAGCAGATGAGTATTGGGTCCAAACACTTCTGATCATATAGATAGCCCTAAGACAGTGTTCTGAGGCTCTAGCTTTGCCCTGGGAAGAGCTCTTAGGCATGGGAGTCAGTAGCAGTGTTCCAGTGTTGTAAGACACAGCTGTGTGCTCAAATGCTTCTATTCCCTTCGCTTGGGTTTTCTGCGGTTTAGCGCTAACCGTAACAAATTGGTGGCATGAAATGCTTTGCATTTTGTTGTGCTCGTTCAGAGCTGGTACTGATTGGGATTGCCTCTAGACCAGTGGCTGTGATAAACAGGCGGCTCAGCCAGGGCCACCTGGGTGTGACTTCAATCCCCACCGCCAAATCTGGGTGCTGGGGTGATGAAGTTCCTGCCCTGTTGCAGGGAAGCAGCTCTGCTGCACCCCTGATATGCAAAGTACGTCTGCTAGGGCGCATCTGGGAAAGCGCGGGCCATCGCTGCAGTGCTCTGATACTGCCTCTCCCTGGGACAGCACTGACAGGGAGGAAAGGCACTTGTCTAAGGTTAAAAAGAAGAAAAAAAAAAAAAAAAAGAATTAAAAAAAGCAGGTGAAAAGAGTGGTGGTGATGGGGACAGAATGTGTTCAAACACTAAGGAAGGTGTGAAGTTTACAGAAAAACCCTCGGGTGACATCGGCAAAAGAATTAGAGCTCTTTTTATTATTAAATAATTAACACTACACCGACTCAA